GACAAAGAAGAAACGTGTGCGTTTTGGAGGTCCCCTCTCTCCTGAGTTTTTCGATAAGAACCTGCCTCCGAGCACCCCATTACAAAAGGGAGGCACACCGGCCCGACCACAAACTCCCGGTGGGAGCTTACAGCTTCGTTCAGTGCTGAAGACACCGCAGAGTGAATCCAAGACACCCAAATGTCGGCCCGACTTCAGCAGCCCGACTGCGTTTGGTGCTTCTCCTACACTCACAATGCCTTGCAAGTCCAGAATGCACTCTGAGGGAGACGAAGAGGAGGTAAAGGTAGATGAGATTAAACTGTGTTGCCAGTATGATGATTACACTGTACATGTAATAAAATCTTAGTTACAAAACATTAACATTTTCCAATGACATCAGCTACAAACAGGCTTTCCACAAGATAATTTGTTCGTCTGTTTGTAACCGCCCTGTTATCTATTATTGTTACATCCTGTGAGGACGTTGGAGTGTGTGGGCGTGGTGTTGTCCTCTCCTCCTCCTTCTTTCTTGTCCCTCCCCTTGTCTCTCTCTACCCCACCTGCTGCTCATCTGCCCTCGTTTACCACCAATTACCCTCCAGAGGTGATATAAGCTGGAGGAGAGCGGTGTGAGTGAGTGAGTGAGTGAGTGACCGACCCACCCACCCACCCACCGTGCGTGGCTTGTTGCGAGTAACTCAACTGGGCAGTGGTTTTGCTTAAGTGACGGCGGCCTCCATTTCTTGGTTTGGCCTGCCTGGTTATTGCTAATAGCAGCGTTGCTGTCTTTTTCTGTTGAAGCCTTATAGTTGTTTTCTTAGTTGAAGCGGTCACCATCTCTTTGGGTTGGCCTGTCTGATTTATCATTAAAGCAGCGTTGCTGTCTCTTTCTTTTGTTACTGCTTATATGATTATTGGGTTAATTAATTATAATAGATTTATTTTGTGTTAAACACCTCTGCCTGGTGTCCTTTTCATTTCAACCCGGATCCAACTGTTACTGTCCCCCACCCTCTTCGCCTTGCTTTCATGTGGGGGCGTAACAATTATTGTCTGCTACCTGCTGCTGTTAGCTGTTGTCTGTTCTCTGCAAGGCTCAGGATATGACCCACGATCTGGTCTTGATTATAAATATTAGTCATCAGTAAATAATACTGCTTTTCTATTTTCTGGTCCTAGATTGTTTTCCCTTCGGTGGAGGAGATTGGCTCTGCTGTGGCGAGTGATACAGGTTGATTACAGTTTATTGACCCTGAGAGAGATGGCTTATTGTCTCCAGTGGAATGCAATTCAGCTCTGATATGATAACAGCTTTCTTTCATTTGTTTCATTTTCAGAATGGGCGTGGGATGCCCAGCCATTGAATTTAAACAGTGCCTTCTACGAGGAGTCTCTCTCTCAGCTTCTGACAGGTAAACAGCTGTCATAGCTTTTTTTCTTTTAATTGTCACTTAGCTTCCTGTCCTCATCGATCTACTTCTGTAACCTCTATTTCTCCAGCAAATCTGAGTACACCAGCGTAAAAGACTTGTTGTGTGGAGCTGAATCACGTCAGGATTTTTATTTTGACATCATATTAAGAAATTAAGCCGCCTTCTGCCTCTCTAATTATAAAAGAAAGATTAAAACAATCAGAGAAGTCAGAATGAGAGGCATCCTTAAACCTCCTCCTGTTGGTTTAAAAGCTGCACAGTTCCTTTTGTCAGTTGGACTGTATTAATTTGTGTGAATCATTTTTCCACGCTAATCAGCTGAGTTGTTATAATCAGTTATTGCTATAATCTCAAACAGAAGTCCTTTCAGCTGTAATACTGTAGGTTTTCCCCCAGAGTCTGACACCAACCCCAGCACAACCTCCCAGATGGATGACCAGTCTGAGCCTGACTCCCTGCCAGAGAAGCAACCAGACGCTGGAGTTGGAGGTCCAACTGCAGCCCGATCCAGCAACAGAAGGAGAAAGGTCTGCCACATTTAAGATATTTTTTTTTCTTCAAATTCTAGGATACATCTCTGTGAGCTCATGGGAATGTTAGACAAAATACTCTGCCAAAATAATTTATTACCATCCTCTAGAGAATTTTATTCTGTGCAATTTTCTCTTGCAGTCAGCACCAAAACAAGGACTTGGAAGCGAACCTCAAGCTTGCTCCAGCAGCCGAAAGAGGAAGGTATGCTGTTGCCATAAACTGCATGATTCACTTGTACAAATGTCCATTTAGAAGCAAAGATGGCCTTTTTTTTTTCCCTTAATCATTTGGAGGTCATAACATGTTCCAATCTAATCTACTGTTTAATTCTGCTGGATGTGAGCTTAATCACATTTAAGGACTTGTACTATGTGTGTGTGTGAGTGTGAGAGTCTATATAATATATCCTGGGGTAAACTTTTCTGTTCCCCCAGCTGCCAGAAGAGAGTGAACCTGTGAAGAGGTCGGCACGGTCTGCTGCCAAGTTGGCCTCTGGGAAGATGAAGGTGAGTTGGATGAGTGTGCTTGTTTGATTTCTCCTTCCATCACTTCACTGAGGGCTTTGCAGAATTTTTACAAGCTGTCATGTAGATGATGGCTACACAATCTGACTATGACTTAAGGTCATAGTGAGTATGTATTCATGTTAATATGGCCCATATAGAGCTGCAAATAGCACATCTGTGATATCATGTATAGTGGTAATGCTGATCCTTATTCATAAAGTTGTGCATGAGTGGAGAGTCAACACTGCTGTCACAGATAATTACACAAAGAAGTTTGATGAGACAAAGTGAGATTGTTTGTGCTTTATATCGTAGTGGTGAGGTGTATATTGTGGCACAGAACCAGAGGAGACTATGTTACCGTTTGATCTGACTATGCAAATTTCCACACCATGAAGGTACTTTAATAATGGGTTCTACAAGGACCTGTTATAGCATATTGTTAGGTTTGGATTTTAAAGCTGGCTGCAAAGCAACTTACACGGGGTGAAATGTTTCTGCTGATTAATAGAAGTGGAATACCATGAAACCATATGGATCCATTTATGTAGTATTCGGCTACACACAGTGAAGGGTTTTGCTTATGCAGCCCACACGGACATACATGTACAGTGTATACTGGTGGGAATGACACTCCATAGGTCAAATCTGGATTGGTTGAAAGGTTTGCACGAACAACACTTTTTATGTTATGCCATCCTCCAGTTACCTCGGGAGTGGGATGTTAGAATTCCAAGTTGGTGTGTACCAATAGGAAAAGCATGAAAAAAAGGATTTGTTTTGCTTTGGCAAAGTAGAGGAATTCATCTATATCAAGCAATACAGCATAATACTTAATGTAAGAACACCACTGAGGACATTCATGGATAGACTCTTATCCATGAATCCAAGATACTGCCGCCCTTTTGGATCGTTAACTCTGGGTTTTTGGGATTGTTCCGACTTCCAGATCAGGACATTCAAATTGGGGCAGCGTTCCAGATGAAAATTCTGTCTAGGACCTTTGTGTGAGATGTCATCCTAATCCTGTATTGTAAGCATCGGTAAACTGATAAGCTTTTATCACTTTTTCTGCATCCGGGTTCCTTAACTGTTACATTAAGATTAATGTTATTGGGTTTATATTCTTATTTCACTATTGTACTGAGAACCTACTGAACCATGACCTCGCATCTGAGATAGGGCTGGGTGATATATCGATATATTTTTATACGAGATAAGATAAGACGTGACTTTTGTGTACTGTTGGGGATAGACCAGATGAATAGACAGATCACAACCTTTTTAGTCTTTCAATCATAGAAATATTTGGAGATGATCTGTGTTTTTGTTGTCAAGAGATCCTGTTTTAAAACAAACAAAAAAACAACACAATAGTTGATCCATCCAGTTTTTAATCCACTCAACTGTAAAACGATGGTGAGTGTACTGTCGTCACCCTGCCGGGCGGGCGGGCAGCATAGACACACAAATTTGTTAATGCGATAACTTAAGAATGAGGCAACATAGAAGTTTCACATTTGGGACAGGTTTGATTCCTGGTAACCTCAAGGTTAGAGCTTTCTGAAAATCATGTGAATGCGATAACTGAAATGAGGCAACATACAATTTTGAAATTGGCACTATTGACTAGTTTCACACTTAGCTCATCTACTAGGAGGCTGAGGGGTAACACTGCCAGCCACCAGTAATTTCTGGCATGTCTGTACACAGCACACCCAAACTAATTTCCACGATTATTAAATACCTACCTCATTAAATAGCTCACAAATATATACATCACTACCTTTTTCTTTTCTTTTTTTTAATTCAAGGAAATGTGATGGTATTTACAACATCCATGTATTCACAGTGAGTAGGGTAGGAAGTCACAATAGGGCAGCAGGAAAAGGAAACGAAGCACAGAATAAGATAAAACATTGACAAAACCACTGTAATCATGTGTTTGCCGACTGGGCACGTACTGCAGTTGACTATGTGGAAGCATTTGTGTGACAGTGATTTATTTTTAAACATACATGCTCTTACTAGACTTTTTCCCCCAACACACTATGATCAGCTAACATCCACATGTCACTTTTCTATTTTCTTTTCCTATTCTTCCCATTTTCAGTACTTTAGTTGAATGTGCATTACATTTTCATGTGTCAACACTTGACTAGTGCAAAGCATAAAAAAGGTAGGATAAGTGAAATGGGTTTAGCCCAGGGCAGGTCAAGCACACAGGGTCCTGATAGCTGTCTAGACTGAAGCTCACATTACTGCAGTCCACTTACTGAGTGTGCAGCGCCCAGCTCATGTCCACGGGATCCATCATTTCCACACTTCCTGTTAATCGTCTGTGTAACGGCTCTAGTATTCTGGCAGCATCGTGTCAGATCGGATGCTTGAAGTAAAATATCTGTGTTTGGTTTAAACCAGCCGGTGGAACTAAAATGAGGACAGATTAAGCAACTCAATGTCTTCTTTCTCACCTCGCATGTTTTCACAAACATATCCCAAAGAAAGTTGGCAAACAAGCCGTCATGTTGTTTTCAGTTTGAAAGCCCACGTGAGGCGTTCGCCCAGTCAGATGCAGCCCAGTGTTTACACGGTTATGAGAGAGAGAGCTGCTGTCGAACACTGAATGGCTGCAAAGTGTCCAGTCCTGGGAAGCGGGGAGAACCCTCACAGGCAAAATAAAAAATTTCCCCCTTAGACACAAACTGTATCCGTACTTTAGGTTTGTTTTTGTTTCTTCTTCATAGATTAATGCTCCCAGTCAGGACTGTATTTAAAGCTCTGTGTTCAGATCTGTCAAACAACTTCTTCAGTTACACTCTCAGGCTGTGCGATATGATGAAATATATCGGATGACAGAATTAGAACATCTATCGTTTCATATTATACGCTATAATTTGTCTCGTGGTGTCGCAAAATACAGTTTATTGTTTTCATTGTTTGGATGGTCACCATGTGGATGCAGCCACGAAGAATACCAGCATGGCCAGTGAAGATGATACAGAACCAGTTAGCACCAAACAGAGGGACCTGGTTGGTTATGAAAGGTCTGACAAAGACCAGAAAAATGTATCATGCAAATTATGCTCAAACCGGTCCCCACCACAGACTCAAACACACACAAACCTCGTCTACCACCTACGCAAGAATCACATGAAAGAGTATGGAGAGAGTTTACGGATGAGAAGCAAAAAAGAGCCGTCAGGTGCTCAAAATAAACCTTCGACTCAACTGTTAGAACAGGCTTTTCTCCGCAGCACGCCGTGTAATGAATACAAAGAAAAGGGCAGCTGTTATAACTTGTATCTAAAAATATATAGCTTCATGCATTGGTCAAAACACTCGACTCCAGGTACACGACGCCCAGCTGAAAACACTTCACACAAGTTTAGTTGCCTGAGATTCACAGAATTTACACACATTGCACTTTTTTGTGATATATATTGTTATCGGGATGTGAGATTTTGGTCATATCGCGCAGCCCTATTACACTCCATGAAATGCAGACAGCTGATGAAAATGAAAGTGCTGTCTGACTACAAGACACACTGATGAGCACAAAGTGTCACCGAAGCAGAATCGTAAGAATCGGAGGATGAAGCAGATTATTACTCCTGCAGGGATTCAGTTTTCCATCTTATAGGTTTTATATCCATAACACACATTTGCCCAAGAGCACGAGTGAACATTCTCCAGCAGTTTCTTTAACTTTGAGCTAATTGATAAAATATTTTCAGCTTTTTTCAATTTTATGTTTGTGTTTATAAAATATGTTTGTGCATTAGATAATCATTGTATTATTAATGAAATGTGCAAGATCGAAACACTCTGCATACCATATCAGAGGTGGATACTTGCCAGCTTTAACGCTTCTGCAGGCTTGTCAATGCAGAATTTTCTAACACTGCAGTTTGTTGGTCCCCAGATGACCTCCAGCACAACGCGTCGATGGAACAAGGACGTAGACCGCTCGCTGTACGGCTCGCGTGAATATGCCTCCAAGAACCCCGCCCTGAGTCCCATCACCGAGAGGCTGTCCTTCATCAGTCAGTCTCCAACAGCACAGGAGACTCCTTCAATCAGCTGTATGGGTAAAAAGAAAAAAAAGTTGCCAGTGTGTGATTTAACCTGTGGTTGGAGACGGTATCAATGTCTGGATGTCAAACTTTATTTTAGTCCCTAAAAAATGAGAACCTTTGGATTCAGGGGAAACCAGCAGAAACATTTTTTTCCTGAGATTTTTCTTTTGTCCTCACTTTTCTTCACAGCTCCAGATCAGGAAACCCAGCTGAATCCTGAGGTAACTAATGAAACTCAAGTGATACACGACCTCGCTGTGACAAATGCCTCAGAAACCACTGTAGAAGATTCTGTCACATCGCCCAGCTTGAGTGAAAAAAGTGCCGCCGGGCAGGACAGCAGGCTGTTGGGGGTGAGGGTCAGAGGAAGACGACTGAAGAAAAGGAAGGTCAGTGTCGCTGACAGTGACCTGACCAGAGGAGAGACAGAGCAGCAGCTCTATGAAGAGCAAACCACTACAAGCCTTGAGCTATCAACGAGAACCCCTTCTGTACATGAAGAGAGACAAGAAGACACTGTAGAACTTTGTGCCCAGACCTCTGCAGATACACCCTGCACAGAGTCAGAATGTCACGTGAGTGCACATGTACCTACTTCAGACTGCCTGAACAGCACAGAGCCAGCACACGGGAAAGCCAAGCATGGCAGGAGGAGCTCTGTAAGCAGCTCAGTGACAGCGGAGCAGGAGAACTATGTAAAGAAGCACCAAACCAGCTGTGAAGAGGAGGAGGAAAGACAGGGAGACCGAGCAGCAAGCTCACAGGAAAACATCCAGTCAAGCTCTGATAGCCAGGAAGAGGGGGAAACGGCTCATGTGGACCTTGCTCCCTGGCAAGCTGACTTTAATTTTGAGGATGTGTTTAAACCAGTTTGCACTAGAGGGCAGCGCTCAGTGCGGCGCAGCCTGAGAAACCAGAGCAACGCTGAGAACAGCAGCAGTGCAGGGCTCACCTGGCTGCCTCGTACCTCTCCCGAGTCCAGCAAAGAGACCCGCAGGAGGACCCGGGGCCGTCGGCTCAGTGCTGCTCTGCCCAGCCAACCGTCACTCCCTGAGGAGGCGGGAGATGCCTCCTGAGATCATTTACCTAACTTAATGAACTGAGACAACTAAAACATTGATTTTTTTTCTTTCTTTTGTTTCTTTCTCTGTGAATTATTAGAGATGACCAGCAATTTGTGAGTGGTTTCCCTCCAGTAACTAAGCTAGTCAATATGCTGAGAGCTCAATCATCTCTGCTGACCACCTAATCAATATCGTGGCACTCGGCTGGTAATCACAGTGCATCTTCAGTCTGCCTCTACAAAGTCACTGGATCAGGAAATGAAGTCAATATCTGCTCCTGAGGCTGGATGAAGATGGCTGTGTCGCATTCACCAAATGTGTCAGCCAAAGGCAGGCGGGCTTTACACGGAGAACTTAAATGAATGTGCTCAAGTAATTCTGCTTAATTGTGATTGGTTGTTGTTGTTGTTGTTTGTTTTTTAATAATCTAAACAGTTGTGGTTATTGAAAAGCAGATGCTTGTAAGGTACAGTTTGAACCTTACAAGCATCTGCTTCTAACTAAATATATTGCCTCCATGTAAAGATGGCACATTAGAACAAACTGTGTTCATTTAAAAGGATGCTTTAGATTCATTTAGAGCAAATTAATCCAGATAATAAAGCAGCCGCTTGTCTCCACAAACGTGACGTTCCAGCTGTGTGTGGTCACTCGAGTTCAAGTGCAGCAGCTTTCCCTTTAGCATAAACCGTCCTGTTCTGTATTTTAAACATGGCCAAATGCCTGAAAGTAAATTGACCTCTAACCTCCACCCAAGTTCCAGCGGTTATTGATTTTTAAAATCTGTTGCTCAGTACCGGCTCCATCCATCTGTCACAGAGGGCAGTAACAAATTGAGTTTCAGATTCAGTTCACATAGGAAAATTGGCTCGCAGAATGATGCATGACTGTAATCTATCCATCACTGAGTAATTGACTGCCTCCTTTTACATCAAGTCAGTCACTTGGCTGAAGGACGACAGAGGTTTTTGGCCCCACTAGTGATCTGCCAAGGCCTTTTTCTGCTCTCTATTCCCACCGGAAGACAGATGGACAAAATCATAAACCCACTAATGTGATGTTGTGTGGCTGCAGTGGGGCCACACTGCCATCTGGTGGCACTCTTGCAGAATTGCTGCTTATTGATGTGCCGCTCCTGGGAGGGTGCGTCAGGAAATGATGCTACTGTCAAGAGTGGGAATAATATAAATGTGTGGAAGTTCAACTTTATGGATGGCTGCTACTGCTTGGAGAGAGAAAAAACACACAGACTAGGCTCGTGTGTGTGCGTTTTTCTGCTCGACTGTGACGCTGTGTGTTTGTCTGCTCTTGTCTCTTTTAAAACTTGTATCATCTTTGTAAATGTGCAGTTTATAGAGTTGAAGCCAAACTGCTGCACCTCTATAATATGAGTGGGTGTTGGGTGTGTTGTCTGTGAGAGAGAGCGCGGGAGTGTGTGTGTACGTGAAGGGTGTGAAGCCCCTGTCCCTGGCAGACGGGCATACTGAAGGCGGCTTAACACAAGAACAATGGGGTCCTTTGACCAAAACGACACCCCCAAGACATGTGGCCTCCTGTCACCGTGGCAACCCCCCATGGGACAGAGCAGGATGACAGCTGGAGAGGAGGACTTACAAAAATGGAGTCCATTTCTTTCCACTGAAGCTCTCCCGGCTCTATATCTTTTCCCCTCTTCCCCCGGGCCTCCTCTACACTTTGGCCCTGGTCAATGCAGGATACATCTCATTTTACAGCTCCGTGTGATTGACCTTACAGGCTTCACTTGCCACCTACAAATCCTCCAGAGGGAAAAATAAATAAATTAAGAATCAGCACCAACAATAAATCAGCTCTTTATTGGCTCTCATTACTGTCCGTAATAAGAGCGCATTGAGCGTCGCAGACAAATACACGGCTGAGCCACAAGATTTCACACTCGCTCTGCTCTTGATTTTCCGCCTCATTTCAAAACGGATGATCACTTTCTGTACGAGCACAAAGAGACATAATCAGTTATTTGTACTTCCAGATTTAGAGACCTTGGTCTTTCAATTAGTTAATTAGTAACTGAATGGTATTAAGTTGTCCCGCTGCCTGTGGCCTTTCTGCGCTCTGTGCTGCGAGCCTTCTATTATTGATGTTCAGAGGCACGATCTGTAAGCCATACACAGCTCTCCTATGGAGCTGAAGACAGCAGGAGGAGGGCGACAAAACAAAAGGCAGGACAACAGCAAGAGACCCTCGAGCTACTCTGTTTGGTTTGCTGTCCCAGTGTGTCTGCATGCTGCGACTGGCTCAAACCTGTTTAAGAAAGCTGCCTCTACACACAGACGAGAGGGCGTAATCTAGGAATCCAATACTGGGAACATACTAGGACATCGTAATCGGTCATTTAGTGCTGCTACTTTAAAGCAGCCTTGGATTAAAGTTGGGCTCAGAAATTTTAACAGTGGAGCTTTCAATTTAATTTCCCTTTTAGTTTTAAGACTAGGGTTAATCCATGTGTGGGAAAGTGTCTGCACAATTACAGCTGTGACTAACAATTGGGTAATCTGTCTCATCCCCCCCAAAAGTGTCCATAATCATAAAGAGAGCGTTTACTTTTTTCATAATTCCTGTTTCCATAATGGTTGATCAAACGTTATGGACAGCTATTTTTAATGCAAATATACATTTGTAGTGTTCATATTTACAGAAAGCAGGGAAAGAAACATTAAAACTATTTTTCCATTAAGATGCCAAATGCATTTCTTTATTTTCATTCCTGAACAGAAACATTAGTTGTTGAATGTTATGCTTGATTCATTTCTGACTTCTAAGAGAAGTCCATAGTGTTTTTTTTCTGGTATAAAAAATGTGATTTAAGTCATTTTTAGTTTTAATGTTTTTGACAGATTTCTCAAATAGTTTTGTTTTCTTGTTTTTATGACAAGTGGTCTAATAAATCAGTTAAGCACATATATACACATGCATATAGTGCTTTTCTACTCTAATCTGGTCAGAAACACAGCTAAGCTGCAAGAGTTGCTAATCCTTAATCTTTCTCAAATTGGAGAAGCTCGCAACTTCCTGCAGTCTACTCTGGCTGCCCAGCCAAGCTGGCCACAGCCTCGGGCAGAGAGGTACCAATAATAATAATGGATTGGATTTATATAGCGCTTTTCAAGGCACCCAAAGCGCTTTACAATACCACTATTCATTCACTCTCACATTCACACACATCGTGCCATCGGCCCCCATGGCCAACACCAGTAGGCAAGTAGGGTAGGTAAAGTGTCTTGCCCAAGGACACAACGACCAGGACAGAGAGCCCAGGGATCGAACCGGCGACCTTCCGGTTACAGATGCGATTCCCAACCCCCTGAGCCACCGTCGCCCATGTGCGTAATAGCCAATATAAATGGGGTGCAGGTGTGCATTTTAGTACCGGTTAAGTTAATTAAAAAGAATCTTTGCACATGTGAATGCTTGGGGGAAAAAAAACGCTCAAATCTACAAACAACATCAGCAATGTTATCTGTGTCGTTCTGTTTGTAGTCGAGTCTGATGTCTTTATTTTCTTCCAGAAGCCTGCTGTGTGTTAGGGGTGTGATGGGGAATACCCAATTAGACAGCAAACGTGGGTGCCCGTGTCATTGTTTCCAAACATGTGTTTCTATTCATTCACACTAAAATGCAGTAAATTCTCCTGTAGTGCTTCTCACACACTGGAGTTGTCTGGATGTTAGGCATGAATGTAGGAAAGATCAGTTCTAAAAGAAATATGCACGGCCCTGTGGAGGTCTTTCACATAGATGAGAGACGGGAGAGCACCCCAGCAGTCAGGTCACTGACATGTATGACAGCCCACTAAGTTTGTCTAAAGGCACCTGAACAACTCGGACCATGAGAAAGCTCTATTGGAACAGATGTGAGTGGTAATGCACGTGTAAGCAAAGCTGTGTAACTAGTTAAAGATTCAAAACTACACGCAATGAAACGGCGAGCAAGGGAAGAGTAACAAAGCGGCATTAGAGAGGTTGCCGTTGTGCCAGGAGAAATTAAAGGAGAGGAAGTAAACGATGCGTCCAGCATTATGTGTGTTGACGAAACAGAGCTCTGCCGTCGCATACCTGCGCAAATCCTGACTGTGTCTGAACTCGATTTATTCTCGAGTGCTACAAACGAGAAAAACCCCGGGTGTTCAGATGAAGAACAGAGGCGCTCACTCGAATGTTAATTCTTCAAACGCGCTTTAAAAAAAAAATCTAACAGGCTCCATTTGATTGATGTTTGATGATCTTTGTGTTGTAATCAGAAAGATTTCATCATCTTGTAGGGAAGATGATTAAATTCATTTTTCACCTCAAAATTCTACACACAATACCTCATGATGACAAAGTGAAAAGTTCTTGTAAGTTTATTAAACAAAACTACAATATTTCTATTGATCATCTATCAGATGCTTCTGCTACTTAAGTGAAGTCCACCTGTGGTAAATTCAGTTGACTGGATGTGAGCCCAATAAGCACACAACTGTCTACATAAGGGCCCATCGTTAACGGTGCATGTCAGAGCACAAACCAAGCTGTGCAGTCCAAGGAACTGTCTGTAGACCTATGAGACAGGATTGTATCAAGGCACGGATTTGAGGAAGGGTACAGGAAAAGTTTCTGCATAATTGAGGGTCCCAGTGAGCACAGTGGTCTCCATCATCTGCAAATAGAAGAGGTTTGAAGCCACCAGGACTCTTCCTAAAGTCTCTAGACTCTTCTGAGCTAACGGGGTAGAGTGGGCTTAATCGAGATGCTTGGCCTGAATGCCAAGCGTCGGATCTGCGGGAAACGAGGCATCGCTCATCTCCTGGCCTGCTACAATGAAGCATGGTGGGATGCAGGGACTGAGAGACTAGTCAGAGTCAAGGGAAAGATGAATGCAGCAGAGACATCCTTAATGATAACCTGCCCTAGAGCACTATGGACCCCTGACTTGAACAGGAACCTGAACATCTCTGGAAAGTTCCATGGGTTCCACAACTCACGACAACACTTACATCATTAGTTCTTTCTTCTTCTTTTTTTTTATACTGTAGTTATGTTTGAAGTGTTTTTAGGTAAGGAAAATTATACCTAATAAATTAAATTATACCTTAAATTATAAAATGTTATAAAGCACTATCCAAAGACATGTGTTTAGCAGACTGTTTTTCAACAGGTGTTTTGAAATATAATCATTTAAAAAACAGGAAAACAGTTTTCCAGGGAGAATTTCACACATGCTGTAACACACAGTGGCAGACGCTTGGAAACCTTAAAATAACTAGTGTACAAATTGCCTGCTCAGGTGTGTTACTCCTTAACAGAGCACATTCAAGACCATTTCTTTTTTGTTTGTTTTTTTGGCTTGCTAACATCCACACTCACACTTTGGCAGTGTCCAGCATTTTACAACAAAATGTAAGTCATAGTACAAGGATAGGTGTGTATAGCTATTTGCACTTAGCCCCCTCTGTGTACTAATCTACTCACTAAAGCCCTTCTCAGTGCAGGAGGCGACCCAGATCAAGATCTGCTGTGGCTGGCTCCTCTGTGAGAAATGGGCATGGCTGACACATGTCAGCCGTGATAAATGAGCAGGTGTTTAGGTCAGTGTTAAGTAAATGGAGTCATTATTGATGACCTCAGAGCCCCCCTGTGTGTTGCCAGTATCAGTGATGACTTCCAGGCGCCACGCTGTAGTACAAGGGGGACACTGTGTTGTGATTCTGGGGGTCAGGTGAGGACTCGCTGCCTCGGGGAACACACTGCACTGTCTACCACAGTAGCCTGGACCGATGACCTCAAAGAAGGAAGCTCACCAGAACTGGAGCACTCGGGCGGCCTCTGTGCAGACTGTTTGTGACTTGAACCTGCGATGGTTGTCTCAAAACTTACTTTCTTCTTCTGTTGTCCCGTGGGAGCGGGCAACCGGGTTTGTGTCACCACTCAGTGGAGCTCCAGTGCCACAAGTCACTGATCTGTCATAGTGTTACATGAAGTGCATGAAGGGTTATTTAGACATGCATTAAACACATACATGGTATTATCAGCAGGCAGCTGCCCTCAAAGAGACAATCTGGAGATGACTGTATGTCAATAAAACCCAATTTTCATCACCTTACTCAACTTCAAACCCCTTAAAAATCTATTAACTATGGTTAAAATCCAGGTCTGTGCAGGAAACCAACCTTTTTTAAGTCAGTAAATATGTCTAATGTACAATCATTCCACCCTGGAAAAAGACAAGTTCAGAGAAATCATTTTAAAAATGACCATGAAACTTAAGCCCATGATGAGCGGATGGACAATTTTGACCACAACTGTATATCAGCACCTTCTATGCTGCCAAATAGCAACAACCATAACCGTCCTTTTTTGAGTCGCGATAAAGGCTTTTTCATGTTTTCATGGATTATTTTTAGTGGGTTGCTGGTGCTGCAGCAATCCACGTTTACTTCCATCTTGACCAATAACCGCACATATCTACACTGAAGTAGAAGCTTAAAAAAAGATGCACCAAATGACGTTGTAGGAGGTTTGGTCCCTAGTTCCTGCAGTGAAGACGCACAGAAATGCAATGTTTTCCTTCAAAAGTTACAAGAACTTCAGAAGTTCCATATCCACTAATTAGCACGGACACCTTCGTTTAGTGATGCCACATGATGAAAAAGTAGTGACATTAAAAAAATGTTTGATTAATTCTAAGCTGTCCAACCCAAATTTCATGGCCATCTATCCTCAAGTTATTGAAATATTCCACTGTCAGCACAAGTTGAAACATGAGAGGATCGAAGGCAGTCTAATTTGCAATAAATTGTAATAAAACTAAATTAAAAGAAATGTGACAGTGGATTGACTGGTCCAGACTAATAAGATTTAATCGTTGTCATCGACAGGGCCTTGATGCTAGCATAACAGTATCATAGACTCCATGTAGCCATCATGACATAAGCCACTGCTATGAAAAGTCCCATTGTGATGTTTCAGTATTTGCCGATGCAATCATGGACTAAATGTTGAGTCTAGCTACTAACCATTCACACCAATATGCTTCTACAATCTGACTTCTTTTTTTAAATCAGACGAGTCGCCCCCTGCTGGCCATCAATAAGAATATACACTGGAAGAGTCCAGTTTTGCAGTCTGCGTGCAACAATATAACGAAGCCAAGAACCTTCGAACTCCGAAAAGCCACTTGAAACGCATCCCACATTAAGTATCCCGAAAACCTGTTCAACACGAGTTTGCACGCTGCTCTGTCGCTGCCGATACTGCGGGCAGGAAACGTGCATGTGGAAAACCTGGATGGATGAGACACGATATTATCATCACTCTCCACTGCTGTCTCTCTCCATATGAAAAACACAGCAAGCCCTCTGTCACTGTCACCTGCGTGAGATACCGCCATCCAGAAGGACTCAGAGTATTTATCAGCTCCGGCACGATGAGTATAAGCACGCCACGTTATTATACGTCTCTCAGGATAATCTGTGACTTTCATTTACATCGATATGATTACATAACACGCTCCATCTGTTGCTTGTTGCTAGCACAGGGGGGAGACAAACATGCATAGCTTTACACAGAGAGGAATCTAATTATTCAATTAGGGACTGTATTGAATGACTAACTGATTCACTGCAGTTTACATAATGACAACACAGATCACTACTGCCTCTGTAATGCAATTTAGTACTACTGTGGAGGGCTCATCATT